GACCCCGAACAGCTGGCCTTTAGGGGCCGCGTACCCCAAACCGTAAGCGGTTAGAGTCGGGAGCAGGAACAACTTGGATTTCTACTGCAAATTTGGAAAGAGCTGCCCACTAGAAAGTTATTTTCTTTCCTGCGCTTCCATTTGTTCTTTCTGATGACGTCTGGAAAGAAAAGCAGTTCAGCTTTTTCCTAAACAATATTTTTTTTCTTCCAGGACTCTCTGCCTGGTGCTGTTCTTACTGAAGGTAATGATGTAATTACCATTAAATTAAAAGGGATCAAGAGGAGGCTCTTATCCCCTACAGGAACTTAGAGCAAAGTGGAGCTTCTTACGCCAGCACTTAACCTCCCAATTTCAGTTGCCCTTTGGGATGCTGGAGCAGGTTCTCCCTGTTTAAGGAAGGGAGCAGGCTCTCTCTCCAGTTTTTAGATGCACAAAGAGGGATGGCCGCTTTCTTACTTGTTTGTTTTCATTACTTTTAAGTGCCTGTTCTGATCTCTTTCTTCCGTTTTACAATAATAAAGTCCATGGTACGAAGCTCAATACCTCCTGAGAGAAAGAGCTTTAATTGTCACTCACAATAATAATAGTAATAAGAACAACAGTTTTAATGAAGTCAGAGATTGGGTTTATCTGGTGTTTCCAGTTGCCTCACAGCCAAAGCACCTCTTTTGTGAACTACTGATTTGGGGATTTTTAAGGTTCTGGCTTTGCTGCATTTACCTTTGGTTTCACTGATGATTGACGTGTTCTCCTTCAAAGCGGTAGGTTTGCCGGTTTAGTAAATAGGACCATCATGGTTTCAGTTGTAATTTCCACTTCCCTCGGTCTTCAACTTCTCTTCCTCTGTTTTGTGTTTGTGCATCGCTTTAGAGGTGGGGTTCAAACTGTCCTGCTTTTGTAGGTGTGATCGAAACAGCCCTGACTTAGGAGACGCTGGCGCAAGGTTTCAGCATCTGTGGCAGAGTCACCAGTACCTACCAAGGAGAATAAGCTGTTATGACTGGAAGCATCTACACCCTAGCCACTGGTTTTGTGGCCTGTATCGAGAGAAAGCTTATGTCTTTACTGTAACTAGTAAAAGATTATCCCAGCATCCGTAATTATGTGCTGTCATACAAAACCTAAGCCACATAGCGTTTTCCTATATTTTGGCATTTCAGAGGTGACATACTCCTGTACATATATTTTTAATATATAAAAATAGGACTTCATCTTGCTACTCAAAAAGATTTAATCTGTCCCCTTTGGGTTTTTCCTTCCTGGGCTGGGCAGACTACGTAGGTCCAAGCCCCGAGCATCGCAGCGATAGAGCAGAGAGCTGCTGGCGCTGCGTCCAGCCCTGCGGCGAGGCTGCTGCTCCTCATACGGTCAAAACTGGTTGTGCCCTCCTCATTGTGTTGGCATGGATGTTGCCGTGTTTTAAAGTTAATCCGAAGGATGCTGTATTCCTGTATGCAAGGGGTCAGGACACAGTCTGATTCCTATATGAAAGTTTTGGGAGTAGGAAAAAAAATGAAGTGTGGAAAAGAAGCTCAATTCAGTTCAAAAAAAAGAATCTGAGAGGAGAACTCTGTGAGGTTTTAAAGTACGGCTTTCTTGATTGTATCCTAAATTGTAGTTGATCTGCAAAATTATACTGGAGAAAAGCAAACTGCTGTATTTATGCTTCCTCTGGTTTTGATTATAAGAATAAAAATCGCAGACTTGCAAAGTCAGAGTTGTGCTGTTAAGGCAAATTGAGAAAACTACGTTTTTCCTGGAGGTAAAAGCCAGGCCTATCTCCTGAAATATAGCTCGTGCCAACGCTTGCAGCTCTTTGGGGAACTTCTTTAGTGGGAGGAAAGACATTGGGTTCCAGTCTCCAACAGAGATGGAGTGACTGTTAGGGCTGGGAGAGCTGGAATGCCCACTGGGAGGATCTGGGAATGTTCCGTTTCAATGGGATGACAGTGCCAGGGATTGGGTTGTTTAAAATGACGTGAGTTTCACTTTCCAAATTTGGTTGTAATAGATGCTTTGAAGTCAAATATTGTGGATTATTTGTCTTTAGAAACCAACCAGAATGACTGATTCCCAAACCTGATACAGATAAGAAGGAAGTTTAAGAGATGAGCAGTAACATTATAATTGCTCTTTGCAGGCCACTTAAGACACAAAAGCCATTGCTTAGTTCTTAAATATAAACAGTAGATTATAAACCAGATCCCATCAATTTGGTGATGACAGATGTTTTCCTTTATTGTGGATTTGTGTTTCAAAAGTCTCAAACTACAACCAAATTATTAATCTAACATTAACATTCTGAAGATGGTATTAAAAAGTTAATTGAACTTAAAACTAGTTGAGGTAGGTTGAACTGAGTCTGCAGACAGCCCTAAGCAGCAACTCTGGTCCTGTTCGTCCCAGAGGGCTGTATGAGCTCTGAGAGGTGAAGACTGTATTTTTGGTCTGAGTACCTTGGCCAAAATACCCAGTTAATGACACAGACGTGTACTCCTTCTCTTAGGTTCAAAAGCCACTGCTACTCTCTCATCAGTTTCTAAAACCTTGACATTTTCTTCTGCATCTCCATCTTTACTGGGTAAACTTTTACTTTACCTCTTGTAAGCGTCTGTAAATGTAAAGTATAGTGAAGAATTTTGTACATTAAAAAGAAAAACAGGTCTCCTCTCCAGTTCACTCAAGTATATGTTCCTGTGGTTTTCTTTTTAAAAATAGCAATAATTTATCAAAACTTCACCGGTGTGTTGGCTGTAAAGTGGCCAGAGTACCTGGCTATACCCAGAGGAGGGGTAGATAGGGCCTAGACCATCAGCTGTTTTGAAAGAATCCTGCTGGGTTTGGTCTGCAGCGTTCATTTGCTTCCTTACAGTCTGCTCTTTGTGGTTAACTAATGTATCGGCAACTTGTGAGGCTGTCATTGCTGCCAGGGCAGCTTCTCTTACTGCGCTTACACTATGCCTTTTCAGGCAGCGTATGGGGGGAGCATGATCCAGCGCCCTGGGGAGTAACCCTTGGGCTTCTCCCTCCACACAAATATCCTGCTCCTGCAGCCGTCCCAGGGAGATCGTGGGATGGGAAGCCCCTACAGCCGAAATCAGTATACGGAGAATGTATAGCGATGTCGTGTGCTTGCGAGAAAACCTGTCTGTCCTTCCCGAGCATCTAGGGAGAAGCGAGTGGAGCCCTGGGAGGGCTGTGCTGGAGGAGCAGAGCCTCGCCGCCCAGCCCAGAGGGGTCATCCGGAGATAACAAGCCTTCTGCTCACCTAAAATTTGACTTATGCTGGCTCGACTAAGTGAAGTTAAAACATAGCTGTATAAATACTGGAGTTTTTATATGCGGATGGGATTGTGGTAGGAGTAACACACTAAGTCTAACATGACTGTGCTGATGAGGCTAAAGAAGTTCGACACGTGTTCCTTTGGTCAGGGCTGTGCTCACAGACAAGATCTGGCCCTCGGTTGCTACTAAAGCTCCGGTGGAGCGCGGTGAATATCAGGAAAAACACGACCGCCCATCCAGTTAGGCCGTGGGGAGGAGGAATGGTTGGGAAGCCCACCAGGGGCTGGAGGCAGAGATGGTCGTGCAGGGACTGGACAGGGTGGTCCAGCCTGGGGGGGGCTTTGCCAAGGGAGCTGACTCCGTCGCAGTGCCTTCTCCAGCCGGTACGAGTGCGAAATACTCTCCAGGCATCCTTGGTATGTCAAGTGTCACTTACGGATCTGGAGTGAGGTGACAGTGCAGCTGGCGCCAGCGCAAGTTCTCCTTGGATCTTATTTAAGCTGTGTTTTGCACAGAATATTTGGTCTTTATAATATCAAAAGCAATTTTAGAGAAAACAATTTAAGAATTAATAGATCGTTTCAAATACTCTCCTCCTGGCTATTTTTCTTGATTTTTTTTTTTTTTTTTTTAAATTTTCTTTTCTTTTTCCCCTTGACTTTGTTCAAAGTTGGTAGAGGCTCACTTTTCCTCTCACGCAGTAGTTTAATGGCTTGTAGCCCTGTGCTTGGAAGACCTTTGTAAGAGTTTTAGCTCTGGAGCTTCAGTCATGCACAGATTAAACAAATGGGAATGGTAGAGCTTATCCTGTTCAGCCGTAAATCTTTAAATCTGACTTCAGAGAGCATGTGCCGCTCACGGTATAATGTGGAATTGGGACAGTTCATGGTGCCCAGAAAAGAACGACCAGGTTACTGCCACGGGCACAGGTTTTATTTTGTCCCTGTGGTCCTGTTGTTGAAGTGTGCATGCACACCACGGAGACCCCCTTTCTCCCGCACCCGGCCCGTCTGTCGTTAAGCGTGTGCACGGTGCTAGGCGCAGGTGGGACAGCGTTTTCATATGGAGCAGTTCAGTGTTTGATGTAAAAATTCATTAAAATTTTCAAGGGACAATTTCAATTTTAGGAAGTGCTAGCTGTTAAAAGCACGTCACACAGAGATGCTGAGGTACTTGGTTAAGTAGGTTTACTGTAGTCTAAATAAAGGAAAGAATCAGTTCAGATGGTGGCAAAGTATTATGAACTTTTTATTTTAATTAGAGATGGTAAAACGAAGGTGTTACCAGTTTCGGGAGACCGATGAGCATCTGGTCTGGTTTTAGTTATTAAAGTAATTGTAAGAAATATAAGAAGTGTTCATGAATTTAGTTCAGCATAATTAGTCAATGTTGGGATAAAACTTCTGTTCCTATGACTTCTGGAGCTGCATGTTGTGATCTGTATCACTTCATTAACGTGGTATCCCAGCGAGCATGTTTCCGATTTGCTCCCACGGGCGAGACTTAGAGGTATGACGGAGCACTGTTTTGACTTCTCGCAGGATGAGCTGGATGAACTTCGGGCTGAAATGGAAGAAATGCGTGACAGCTATTTAGAGGAAGATGTTTACCAGCTGCAGGAGCTCCGGCGAGAGCTGGACCGGGCAAACAAGAATTGCCGCATTCTGCAATATCGTCTCAGGAAAGCGGAACAGAAAAGCTTGAAAGTTGCACAAACAGGCCATGTGGATGGAGAGCTCATTAGGAGCCTGGAACAAGATTTAAAGGTGGGTGAGAGGTTCATACTCACGGCAGAAGAGAGCAGACGGGGATGTGGCTCCCTGCGATGGATGGGCGGGTGACACACGAAGCGGGCAGTAGTTCTCCAGGCGTCAGGATCAATTTCCTTCTTCTGCGGTGGAGAACAAATATGCAGCTTATCATCATAAAAAGATGTGTTAGTGAGTAAAAAAACATGTGCTTAGATTCAAAATGAAAGAAGTGCAGTCAGGTTAGATTTGTGCGTTTGAAAGATTTAAAGGGTTTTGTTTTACTGGTTTTACTGAAAACCTTAGCTTTGTAAAACTGCATAAACAAAACCTGATATGCTTTTCCCAATTCAAGCCATTTCCTTCCTTTTCTCTTCTTATGCCAAATGACTGAAGAAAAAAAACCCTAGCCAAAGTTGCATTTCTTAGTGCCTAATAAGTTACTCATAGCAGGAACAGACTGTTACAGTATTTTAGCAAGCCAGATAGAGAATCAGAATGCTATTCCCATGAAAACACAAAATCCTGTAAAAATTATGTTCATACTGACACAGTTTTTATATTTTTCAGAAATATTTCCATCAAGACTAAGCTTTGTATAGGCATGATGCTTATCTAGCTTTACTTGTCTTTCTTAATATTGCTATCTTGTAGCTGTTTTGGAAGTGTCTCCTGTAGAGAGGGACTGCTGACCACTAGCATTATTAAGTATTTTGTACTTTAAAATGCAAAAAATAAAACCTTCTGAAACCGGAATGATAGGTTCCCAGCAGTGGAAATGAGAGTAACCTATCACGTCATCAAACTTTTGAAAATGTCAGACCTAATTTTCTCTTTTATGTTAGAAAACAAATGATAACCTTACCACAACAGAAATGATACATTACTCAGTAAAAATCTTCTACATAGATTCGAGTGAAAGAGACATTGAGGGTTTTTAGTTTGTTTGCTTTGTTTTTGCTGACTCATCACAATTCATCATTTTGTGTGAGGAATCACCTTTCCCAATGTTTTTGGAGTAAATATTTATTCTTGTTAGGCTGGACTCAGAAAACCTAAGCTAGCATATATTTCTGTGCTTTCATATCACTCTTGCCTAGTTGTGATTGCTGCTAGAGCAGCAAATCTGGGTGGATGAGAGTGCTGCACGGATGTGGCTTTGATCGACGACCTGTCAGCTTTACAGCACAATTCCTCATCTTTTGTTTTATCGACATGATATGCTGGGACTTTGATGTGCGGGTTTGGTATCTGCTTGTTTCCTCCTGCTGTTCCTGACATTGCCTTGGCGTAATGTGGAGAGGGAGCTGGAGGCGGGTAATCAAATATATTTTCATCTTGGATTTCTTTATTAGAAATGAATATTCATTTTTGTACTTGAAAGGCTTGGAATCTTTCATCAACAGTCTCATAATTGAATTAAAAATCTCTCTTGGCTGTCCAGGGCGGTAATATCCTTCCTGCTGTAGGAGACGTACGGTGGCTGTTGCTCCTCAGGGACCCTCCTCATGCCCTTGTGCTCTTCTGCCCAGGTAGCCAAAGATGTTTCTGTCAGACTGCACCACGAGCTGGAGAGCGTGGAGGAGAAACGTGTCAAAGCGGAAGATGAAAATGAAATCCTTCGGCAGCAAATTATTGAGGTGGAAGTATCCAAGCAGACACTGCAAAATGAGCTGGACAAGTTAAAGGAGGTAAGCGATAGGCAGGAGAGCCACGCAGAGCGGTGTTGCTGGGTTAGATGGGAAATTAGACATGCATGCATCTTCAGCTAACCCTTACATGAAATGCCTACTGGTATTGCTTGTGCAATTGCCCGAAAGGTCTCCTTGCCTTTGTTGTACGTCCCAAGTGTGCTGGTAATTTAGAAACAACAGAGAGGCAGAGGAGCGATGCTGGGCCTTTTGTCTGGGGCTTCTCGCGGGGCTTCTGTCCCGCTTTAAACTGGCTCCTCAAAGCCTCTTCTCCTACTGGAGCACAGCCGTCTTGGTTTGGCTCCGGCTCTGACTCTGCTTTACGCAGACGGGGACTTCCACCTATTTGAGAGTCAAATGAGGTGTGCGTGACTGGTCTCGCAGGCTTCGTGTTGGCAAGCTGCCGCTGTGCTCTTCAGTGGTGAGAGTGGGAGCCACCAGCGTGAGCTCGGCAGCCGGAACGTGGGCTGCAACGTCTGAATAACGTAGCCCTTCGGGGCAGAAAGGCCGTCTGTTGAGTAAAGGGGTCATGTCACTTGGAGCTGACATAGTTGTACGGGATGGAGTGACGATCCTTGGAAGCGAGTGAGCTGAGGAGCAGGGGACAGTAAAGGACAGCGAAATACTAAGGGTGGCTCTTTGCTGGAGCCTACATCCCGGTCCGTAGCGGGATTTCTGCTCTCCTAACAGTACAGCGGATTGGCAGCTGACAGCCTCTGCTCTGTTTTAAACCAGATTGAGATAGAACATTTAAATGTAACTAGGTAAGGCATTTATCCTCTGAGCCCTGGTCAGATTGAGAGAGCTGGTGCAATTCTGTGTTATTTTAATCTTTCAAACAATGCTTGTGAGTCAACCGGCACAAAGCCTGACTCGGTTTTATAAGGACAACCCCTGTATAATTTCTCTGTGCATTTGGGTTATGAGGAGTCCACTGCAAGAGTTTTGGGGCACTTTGTACCTAACAGGACAGATCGTCAGCTGGTGTAAGTGTTAGTGTTGTTTACATCACTTAGGAGCCTGACACAAAAGATAAAGTCTGCATGATGTTTTAGCTATTCTTCTTCTTTCTCAATGTTATTTGTGAATGCTGTGCTTAATGGACGTGATGCCATGTTACAAGGTCTGCAGTCTATATTCAATACAAAAAACCTGTGTCATCCACAGTACCGAATGGATTGCTTGTTGTTGATTAACACACCGGTCCACTAGATCCGGCTTGATGTTCTTTGGGATTAAGCAGTTTGAGAAACTAAATTGTAGGCGAGCAGCGGGAAAGAAACTGGTCCAGGAGTGCTGGAGTTTCAAGCTAGCTCTAACCAGGCTGGGTTTACCCCGCTGCTTAGGTTGCCGCAGCCTAGCAGGGCAGGGAAGGCCAACTAACGCCGCTGCCTCTGCTGCGCCGCGAGTCGAAGTGAATGTACCCTTCCCTCGGAGGCAGACATTGCCCCATAGGAGGCAAAGGCTGGAGGGGAGATAGGGAGAGGTGGGGATGGCAGGTAGAACGGTGGGATGTGTTCATCCTGATCTGGAGGCACAGCAGGGCATAAGATGTTGTAGTAGTAGTAGTAGAGAGAGTCTGGGTTTTCATACCGTGAGTGGTGGTTTCTGTGGGAGTCAGAATTTCACAAGGTCACAGTAGGTGAGAAGACGGAGGTTTGGGTCCTTGGCAGGTCGCACAAGGACAGATGAGCCAAAAGTTGGAGAAACAGAGTGATATGTGTGCAACGTTGTTGATACTGCTAAAAAATAATAATAATAAAAAAAAAATTCTTGCCTCAAGATGTGTTCAAATGACTACCAGAAGCGATGCCTCTTTAGGAACATTTAATGCGTACAAAGCTCTAAAAGAATGTATTGTAGACATGCCAGTGGGAAAACTAGTGCTTTATGTATCAGGAGAAACATGACCCAAAGGCCATGCAGCTTCTTCCCCATCCACCCTGCCGATGCAGCTTGGCTGTCTGAAGGCTGACGCCTAGAAGGAACCTCTGTCCTACCCGGTCCTGGAGCGTTGCCCGAGCCCCAGTGAGACGGTGTTCGCTCACTGTCACCGTACGCTAGTTCTCTGTAATAGCCTTGACTATGCTCAGCCCTTTTCCTCTGTCGTCTGCTGATCAACAAAAAGGTTTTCTCACATCCACGTTCATGTTTATTGCTTAATTCAGTGCTGATTTCTGCTCTGTCCTGCCGTACAGTGCCCTCGGGTCCAGTTTCTCCCTGCAGTGGATGGCATAGATATTGATTACCTTTAATGTATTTCGCATGCTGAAATATCTTTAGGAATTGTACACATCTCTGAAAGCACTCTTTCTTTAAAGTCACTTTTGGTTTTTTATCATAATCTTTTGAAGAATTCCTAATATTTACAATGTTTAGTGCTGCTGTGTATTCTTTCACCCCAGTACCTGTTTCAGTCTCCTGTGATACTTTCAACAGGATTTTTTTGTTGTGAAATATAGACAGGCTTGCTCTGTCTAAATAAAATTCTTATTTCCTTCAAAAAAGCCTTGCAGTTTTAACTGGGAAATTAATTTTTGCCTCCTCCTGACTATGTAATTTCAAGTTGTATTAAGTAGGCGTGAGATAAGCTTTCCTCTTTTGTCCCTAAATAACAATTCTCAGTGTGTCTCAACTTTGCAAATACGAGAAGCAAAGTTACAACAAGGAGGAAAGGTGACAAGAAGTCACCTGCCATGTCCTTCACAGTGCTCTTGCCTCGTCTTCTACGGCTGTGGCTGTGTCGTAGCTCATGCACTTCCCTCCCCAGTCCCAGATGCTTCTGGAGTCCCATTTCGTGACATGCTTTCAGCTGCTTTTGTGTAATCTATCAAAACCACATCTAGGCTCTTGCTTTGTTCTGGTATCTGCCAGGTGCTCCCACCATCAAAATATTCTGATTTTCACTGATTGTTTCAGTGAGGAGCTCTCAGATCATCAGTGAGTCACTTACAGGTTTTTAGGATAATTCCACCTCTTTCCTTTTTTTTTTTTTTTCTTTTTCCATAAGCATGCGCCATCCCTCCAGCCTTTTGCAACATTTTCTATAGGTGTATTTTGAGCTAAGATATGGATCAGTAAGGATTTTTAACGAATAGTTGTGGATTTTATTGACTTCTGATGTCTTCCAGTTAGACACCATTCTTCTCTGAATGTTTTCATCAACGCCCTGGCATTCACTTCGCTTAATTGTGCCACTCTACTTCCTTTTTTTTTCAGTCCTCTTGGCCAAAAGGTAATATGGTGCTTTCCTTTCCCATAATGGTTTGTAATTTTTTTTTGTTTTCAGGCTTTTTTTGTTTTTCACTGTGTAGGTTCATCACTTTGCTACTATTGCCTGAAATACCTCCACTGATTCTTTGAAGCTACTGCTTTCACCATGTAATAGTGTTTTCTCTCTGAATATTTTTTAACTTTACTGGCTGTACCAAGTTTTTCTGCTTCAGTCTTCTCTAACTGCTACAGCACTGTGGTTCATTGAATTTTTTCCAGGATTACAGTCACCTACTTTTTCAGTTTCCCTTTTTCAACTCTTCCTTTTTTTTTTTTCCCCTTAAATTTTTTTACTGTGAACTTTTAAACTGGTTTTGGACCTCCCTCTGATGCCTTTTTGTGGCATTCTCCATCAGAGCTTCAGAGTTTTCCTACCGCTGTGAACACTTCTTTGTAGGATATCCTTGCAAAACTGGGATGTCTCTAAGAACTGTCCTTCTAGGAATTTGCTAGGATTTTCTGTGACTTACCAAACCTGCTTCTGCCTTACAACTTTAGAAGCAAAGGTGTCTCAGATTCGGTAAGTATACGTATCGCTGCCAAGGCTTGCTTGCTTTTTTCTCTTGTGTCTAGGTTATTAACATCGCCATTTGAGTCGATAGTCTGCCAGGAGAGAAAAAAATGACTCCATCACTAACAGATTACCTCAGCAATATCCCTGCAACTGTGATTTTCCCCTTCCTAATATCCTAATATTCAGGTCAGCTCATGAGAAATCCTGATGTATGTTAAGAATTTAACTCGGTCAACCAGCAGACATTCAGAAAACTTTCCAAAAAGTTTCCTTTCTTTGCACCAGTGCAAAACCCCTACCGACTCTGTCCTGAGCATCTACAAACCAGATCTTTTCTCAAAGGCTTGACAACAGCAAGTGGATTTGCTTTGAGATCTGAGCATCTTCCACTCAACATCTAACCGATCCCAAACGACATTTCCTTGGAGCTACCAGGGCATCTTTAGGGGACATCTTCTTCCTTCTGTTTTCTCAGCAAAGATGTTTCACAACTAGATGATCTGTCTTTAGTGTAAGTTTAAAAAACCGTGCAATCAGGCTTGGCAAGCGTTGGGTGCCTTTATGCACAGTGATCATTAATTCCCCTGCAAGTTATACCTCTCAGAGTAATCCTTGCTCTAAAAACTCCGTACCTGGGCAGGAATAAACCATTTTTGCTACTTATTGTAGAAATGTGCTGAGGTGGCACAGGACCCATTCCCATTCCCCGTGGGGAGAATGAGTTGGTCGCTTGTTCGCAGCTGCTAAACGCGCATTTTCTTGGGTTCTTTGTCTGGGTTTGGCGTTGTGAGCCAGGGAAGAGCGAGAGGCCTGGCCGCGGCCGCGCTGACGGTGCTGGGGAGGGGTAGCCCTGCCGGACCCAACAAAGAGAGGGGAGGATTAGGGACAGGGGTAGCAGCTGCCGAAAGATTTGACGTGAGTGCTTGGAAGTGGTTTAGCAAGAAATGAATGAGAATTGTGTAACTGGGAAGAAAGGGGCATTTATTGCCTGTGGGATGGCTGTACCGAGCAGGTGACAGTCCGTCTTTATTGCCGCCGAGAGCAGAAGGACCGGAGGGGGAGCAGCCGGAGGTGTTGCTTTCTCTCTTGCCCGGACCACTGGTGTAGCAGCGACCTCCCCCGTGACACCAGGGTTTTCTTCGCCATCTCCTCACTTCAGATGAAGTCGTTTGTGCTTCGAGCCCTCCAGGTCGTTGGGACGGCAAGAGGCACG